CCCCGCCCCGCCCTGTCCGCGCGCCCCGCAAAAGAATGAGCGGCGTGTCGCCTCTCGCTGGAAGTCCTCGTTTTGTTTGCCCCGCACATCCGCCCCACGGTCACTCTACAATACGTATTAAATTTGAGGGCCGACAGCAGGACGCTCAAAATTTTCTGGCAGCGGCAGCGATTAACATAATTCATGCATATGCATGCGTGCGCGGCGTACGCACGCCCGCAGCGGCGGCCAGGAGCAGCGCGTCGTCAAGAGGTCGACGACAAGGAGGGCCGCATGTCCATCCTCACCCTTCCTACCGATATTCATAGAGACGAGCAGCGATAAGCTAGAGAGCGTCCGTGTCCCGGTTGCTGTCACTGGACTGATCGCAGGGCCGTGCCCGTGCTGTGTGCTGGCGAGGGGGCCATGCACGGCACCAGGGATCCTCCGGGTGACTCACGCGCGAGTAAGTAACTACGTCTTCATTTCGGCTCACGAGCTTGGTGATCGACTTGGCCGGGCGGGGCGCGGCCGCCGCGGCATTGTATTGTAATGAGGCTGGCTGGTGGAGGCCTGGCGGCTGCCGGTGGGCACGACCAGCGCAAGCGGCGCGAGCGGGGCACGCACCGGGAGGGGCCGGCGGCACGACGAGCACATGCTAGTACTCGGGGCGCGGCCACACCTTGCCCGCGAGCCACGACAGCCAGCCGGGGGCGGCGGGGCCCGGGGGCAGCGCGACGGTGCACTCCAGGGCGAGGCCGCCGCCGCCCACAACCAGACGGCCGACAGCCTCCTCGGCAGCCACCAAGCACCGGCCCGCGTCCACCGCCGGCACGAGGAGCTCGTTCTGCTCCAGCGCGGGCACGCGCGCGTTCAGCACCTGAGTGAAGAGAGTTGAGACCTTGCTGTCGTCGCCCTGGCCCTCATCGCAGTGGTCGCCAACGCCTACCGAGTGAGGTCTCGAGGAGCTCCGGAGTGCCAGGACGCAGACGTGTGCCGGCGGCCTCAGCCTGCCGGCCGACAGCTGCCGCGCCAGAACGGCCACCCGGCCGGGCAGCTCGTCGGCGTGCACCTCCACGACGAAGGTCTCCGCGCCCACGAACAGGCCGACGTCCTCAAAGCGCAGCGATGACTTCACCGGGTCGCCGTCGAGGACTTCCAGGCTGCAGTGTAATAAGGACGTAGTTCGAGTGGCACATAAAAGCAGCTGCAGACTTCCTCCACCTCTCGCCCCATGCAAAACTCTTTGGGGCGTGCTACCCGATCTACCCCTCGGGGACGCATTCGAGAGGTGGGGTGGGCCAGGCCCGGGCCCGATTCGGATGCCGAGGGGCTTGCGGGCATTACAGGATGTAAACCCAGATGGGGAGAGAGTGTCAGCTTACCCAACACGTACGCGGACTCAGCCCGGTCCCGGGCGGACGCACCTGAAGGAGACCTTGGAGTCCAGGGCCACCACCCTCGCGCGGCTGGGGTGGGTCTCCAGGCAGTGGGCACGCGCGGCCTGGAAGGGGCCCCTCCAGGCGCACGGCTGCAGGGGGCACGGCCCGCAGTTGAACGCGCACTCCAGCAGGTGGCTCTCCCGCTCGGTCACCTTGACCCTGCGCGCGCAGCCGAGGGAGCGGTGCACGCAGGGCAGGGTGAGCGTCTGGGCCAGGTGGTCCAGGGCGTCGTGTGTGCTGAAGGACAGCGGCCCGCGGCACAGCGGACACGACGTCACTCGGCCGCGGCACGAGTTGCACACGCAGTGGCCGTTGATACACTGACGCACGGGCGGCTGCATGGTGTCCACGCACACGGGGCACTCGAGCATGGACACGGCCAGGGCGTCGTCCTCGGCGGCCTCAGCATCGTCAGTGACGGCAACGGCAACCTATGTGGGATGATTGTGCTGTGCTGCACTAACCCTGGGGCACTACTGCCTGCCCCTCCTCGGATGGTGCATACCACACTGTCTGACGTGTCTGTGTCCGCGGGGGGCGTCGCCGCCTTGTTGTCGTCGGCACCCTGGCTGGGGTCCTCGACATCATCGGCGGGGTGCTCGTCCCGGCCGGCCACATCCTCCTGCACCCGGCGGCCTGCCTCCTCTTGCTCCAGCTTGACTTTCTTGGTGGCGGATGCGTCGTCATCGGCGTGCTCGGGGGACAGGGGTCGCTTCCTGAGCACCGCGAGCACGCGGGACAGCGCCTCCACCTGGGCGGCAGGCGGGGGTGCGCAAGGTGCCGGGGCGCTACTCCTCACTACAGGGGGCTGACGGCGCGGGGTACGGACGCCCACGGCGGGTACCCACCATGGCAGTGGCCGGGCCTCAGGCCGGGCAGGGGGCTGCGGCTCAGGGCTCCGTGCGGACGCAGAGGAGGCGGCGGCGCGCCGACGGCATCCTGCCGCACGCGGGGAAGAAAGCGAGAAAGAAGAGGAGCTGGCGGAAGTTACTTCAACAATCACATTGCATTGTTACCCAGTGCTTGTGTCGCTGCCGATCGCTGCCGCGCTTTTCAAAGAAAATTGCGCGCAAGCCGCGATTGGCGGCGGCGGGCATATCACCCTCCTTGGCGTCGACGGCGATGCACGGTCTGGCGCACGCCGTAAGGGACCGCGGCGCGGCGAGGCGAGGCGCCTGGCGTCGGGCTTCTGTCGCTGATTTACACTCGGAGCGGGGAGAAGGGGGAGGGAGGGCGTCCGAAAAAGCAGGAACGTGTTACAGCCGTGTGGTGAGCAGGGCGGGAGGGCGCGACGCGAACCCTCCACGCGTCCCCTTGCGGCTTTTCGGACGCGCCTCCTCTGGAGCCTCTGGCTGCAGCCTATGGGCCGGAGCCGAGCACCACTTCATTATGACAGATTGAGTCCCGACTCCCGGCCGCGCCGCGGGCCGCGCAGGGCGGACGATAGCGAGGCTAAGCATGGCCCAGAATACGTTGCGACCACATTTTGGTTTCAAGAATGCAAAATTATGTCAGGGGAAACCACTCAGCTGAGTAAAGATTTTTGTTCGGTGTGTTTTAAAAATAGTAGTTCAGATTTACCAGGAGCCAAAACTTAGCTGGAAAGAAAAGTAAAGCATAATGTGACGAGTGATGCTAACCAGAAGGTGGGAGTGGTGGGGACCCCACCCCCGACCCGACCGCTCCGCGACTTTCTAGGAGACGATGTGACCCGGTGATGTGAGGAGCGCCTCGCCTCAAGTCACCTATTTTTCCAGCCAATTCCGTCGGCAGCGCGGCAAGCAAGCCAAGAAGTAGCTGCAGCGCGGTCGGCCCGCCGGCTGCTTGTCAAAGAGAAAGGGGTGGGTCGGCGGTGGGGGAGGGAGGGGGTCGAATTAGGAGGAAGTGGCCAAACACATTCCCGGAACACACGTTTACCGCTTTGTTTCTGCGTGACGACGCGTGACCGCGCACAGCAGCAGGTTGTGGCGCGCACGCACCCGTGTGGACGAGAGCGTTACTTCCTGTACAATTCATAACGAAAGCATTGGTGAGCATCAGGACGACTATTTTGGAACGATGTGGTGGTTTACTTCGACAAACCAATTTCATCGCCACTTGGAAAAGGGCTAAGCAGCGAGCACATCGGTGGCTATTTGAATGCCCCAGTACCCCTTATGCACCCAGATTTCCTACGCCCCCCCCCCCAACTCGCTGCATAACATCATCATAATTCTCCACCGTACGCGGAATTAGTTGTCCCCGGGGAGCCAACATTAGACGAACATTTTTCATGTCCGGAAATAAAGAAGTTAGAGTTAGCAGGTAACCGCTTATTCGCATTAACCATGGCTGCCACTAATCGAACGATGCAACTCCGCGGGTGACCCCATAACGTACAATTTAACGGCCGTGGCACTGAGAAAGTACCTGCAGGGCGATATGAGCCCTCGCGCGGTGTCAGTGATCCTGTTCGACTCAGGAAAAGTTTCTTATTTGTGTAGGTCGGAATGAAACCATTCATCTTTATCGTACCAAAACGCCCGACCGCCTCGGGCAAGCAAACACGATTGGAGTCCCAAAACCCATCCACAAATCTCGCCTAGGCTACGCGGGGAGCGCACTGGCTGGAGGCGTGGACCCGGTGCGCGGGTGTCTATGTGGGGCGCAAGGCGGCGGCAGGCAGCCTCTTCATTCAGAGCTGGAGCATCCACCACGCGTTGTGGAGAAATAAGCAATCGTCGTGAATTTGTGTGTTGGTTCAACATCTTTAACCTAGCCGCCTACGGTGCCCCTCACATCAGGTATGTGATACAGGCTTGGGCCGCCCGCGTGGGCTCAGCGCGAGCTCAGCGGGGTGGGCAACGGTGCATCTAGGCTCGCGGCGGTCAACTGTACTTAATTTTTATCGGGTTTTTAGTTTTTTGGGACATTAACGACAAAAGAGAAACGGGTGCGCACGAGATCTAGCAGGTATGTAGTTGGCAAGAAGGTTGTAGGGGGAAAAGCAGTAGTAGTAAGACCAAATCGGTTTGTATTGGCAAAGGGAGCCAGCTGGTGTGCGTAGAGATAACCTGGCGCTGATAATAATTTTCGGAATTTATGGGGCAAGCAGCGCTTCTCTCTCGTTCTGCTGCGCGACACGCTTCCGGCCCCCGACCATTTGTCAGCCGGCCGGGGGGGAATTCCCATTACCCGATCTGATTCGTCGCCATATTTCTTTAGCTCGTCCCGAGTGTATATTAACCGCCCGGTGACTTTTAATGAACGGCGCGACCGATTAACATACTGACCGCTGCTGCACGGGACGTAATGTCTGTTTTACTTACAATCACGGCGCTGCTGTGAAGGTTCCGGCCCCATAGATCCTCGCCGGGCCCACCAGGAGGACCCGCCGGGCCCCGACAGGCCCACCCGAGCGCCCCGCGGCAAAACCAATCAGAATACGGACGCGCGACCAATTACGGCGCGCGCTGATTGGCTAGTTAACACCGCGGCGAGAGGTGACGCGGGGAGGCTATGACCCCCAGCGGGGCGGGGCGGGGCGGGGCAGCCTCTACGTGGGAAAGAGCGCCGCGCGCCCTGCTCGCCGCGCTCGGTCACTGCTTCGAGGAAGCTCCGGGGCAGCTCCGCCGTGCCGGGTCAGAAGTGGCCGTGATGAGGAGGGTCATTGTGAATTCCAAATCATCACGGATCGAGCAGAGCGGAGCAAAGCAGCTGCCATAAGGGCTTCATGACTTTCGCGCCGCACATTATAATACGGTCGTGTTCTCCGGGTTGACGAGACTAAGAGCTCGGCGGAGCTGCGGGGCGGCGCATTTCTCTCTGAAATGAGCGTCATCTCAAACGGCGCCCTTGGTGGTGGCGAGGCGGCGGGGGAATCCGTGTCCAGCGGGGGCCGGGGAGGGGCGGGGAGGGAGGAATGCGCGCCGGCCGGACCAGGACCAGCGGCATTAATTACAACGGGCTGGGCACGTGCTGCCGGATGGAAATGCGTGCCCGCTACGCCCCGCCACGCCCCGCCACGCCCCGCCACGCCCCGCCACGCCCCGCCACGCCCCGCCACGCCCCGCCACGCCCCGCCACGCCCCTGACCTGACTGGCCGTGCCGCCGGCCGCCGATCTTTCGCGGCCCTCACGCCTCACGCCCTCGCCTGCTCGACCCACAACTTTAACTTCCACTGACAAGTGTGTGTTGTAAAGTGGCATCCCGTGAAAAGCTGCCTGGTGAGAGGTTGGTTGCTGATAGAAGAGTCAGTGAGCGACAGCAGAGCGAGGCGAGAGGTGGAAAGAGCAAAGAGACCTAAACAACTGATCATTTAGGCAGTTTGTATTTCAATGAATAGGTGCGGCTCTATGCCAAGCTCTACGCAGCTATTGTTTTAACGTCATGTAAGAAAGTTTACAGTTACTTCACCACACCCAGAAAACCGTTTCTTTGAATTAAAGAAATTTTATTTTATTCAACGAAAATTTCGTGCCAGAAACCAAAGAAATCTTTTTCGTTCATATAACGAAAAAAATTCTTACACTCAACGAAATTTTTGTCAGATTCCCGTGAAACCGTTGTCATATGTGGCACATGTGAGTCCCAGGTATGTTTCATACATATTCACCATACGAAACATATGATACTTGTATGTCGCCTGCACTTGCCATACGTTTTGGTAACACACATGTGTCAGACGTTCACATGTTTCATATATAGTTCTTGGTGACATGTATGGCTGACTATTACATACATGCGTCGCCGATGGATTTCCGGCACATGGCATAGGGCTCATGTAGGGAACACCCGTTTCGTAGTTATGTACATATATGCATCATGAGTCAACACACCAATCCCATGTATGGTAGAAATGTCGTAACAAGTGGCAGATGTGTGATAATGAACACTTAGCGAAATAAGTTGGCGAATTATATGTGATTCAACCGTGAAAACGTTAGCATGTGTAGGGCATATATGTTTCTTAGTGATGACGGTAGAACAGGCAAAAACATACATTGTAATTTGATACCATGTGTGTCTCATACATGTACCATATATAGTGTACGTATGTAGCTTAAGACCGTACATCTGCGCAAACCGAACAGGCGCGGTCTAGTGGTCAGCACACTGGGTTCGCAATCCAAAGGACGTGGGTTCGAATCTCCACAACATCGTCGGTTTCAAAGTAAGTTTAGAGTTAAAACTGTTTCCAAGTGTTAATGTATATGTTCTAAAACTTGATAAATACCACATTGTCCCATAAAAAAATCAATTTTTGGCGGCAAAGGGGGTGAGGGGTGAAAAACTTCCCCAATTTACAATTTTCATTCATATGGATAACATATATGGAACTCGCACGGCACATGTATTACACATACATGTTACTCGTATGGGACATACAAGACCAAAACGTATGGTGACTTACATGTCTGTCACACATGGTACATACACTTGGAAAGTTTCACGGGTTGAACAAATTTTCGTTGAGATAAAGAAATTTTTCTTCAAATCAACGAAAATATCGTCAGTTCGTGATTTCGTTAAGTCAAAGAAACGGTTTTCTGGGTGCAGAAATGCTTACGTATTTCTCATGATTTTGTTTGGTCAGTACCTTATTAAATATTATGAGATATTTTTACCCCAGAACGTCTTGCGTAACAGGCTTTGTGATGTACGAAGCACTGGTACGCTGCTCCCGAAATATAACAAAAATAGCTGAATCAGCAAATCTCAGATATTGTGTGCCGAATCATATGTTCTAGTGCTCTGGCGAGTTACAATTTTCTCTTCACTCGAATTGAGGAGACGTAGCAGGAGCGTGGCGATTGACACCAATTCTCATGTGTTCGTTATTCGCGGTGCTATATCGTTCCGCGGTGGACGGGCCGGCGGGGTCCATTAGCCGCATGATCACTGCCATGTGGGGCTGTTGATGAGGTCGTCTCACCGGCCGCACCCCACCCC